TGGTTCTGTTCAAAGGCTATCCCAAAGCAACGAGACTACAATGGAAATTTATATCGATAATATCAAATTAGAGGAAGCGGCAGGGGAAAAGCTGCTCGGAGTTGTCATTGACTCAAACCTTTCATGGAACTTACACATTGACTGTTTGATTAAAAAGTTAAACTCTAGAATATGTCTCCTTAAAAGAGCAAAGGTTTATTTAACCTTTGCTTGCAGGAAAATGTTATACAATGCCCTCATCAAGCCAATACTAGAGTATTGTTGTACGGTCTGGGGCAACTGTACCGTTGGTAATCTCCAAAGAGTTTTACGACTACAGAAACGATGTGCTAGGCTTATTTTCGATGCTGATACTCACGAAAACTCAGTCAAGCCTTTTAACAAATTACATTGGCTGCCTATAGATGATATCATACGTATTAGGAAGCTTTATTTGCTTCATAAAATAAATCAAGGACATTGCCCGGCTTATTTTAATAAATATATTGAACATATAAGTAACACCCATAATTATAACACGAGATCCGCTTCTAATAACAATATTACAACACCAGCTTGTAAAAGGAACTCTGGCCTTAGAACGTTTCACTCAAGCGCTTGCCGTTTGTGGAACGCTCTTGATCCCGAACCAAAGACACTCTCTCATACTAATTTTAAAAATTACTTAGTTAAATTTTACCGTAGTATGACTTCTTTTCTTGATCATTTTAAGATTCGTAAAACTTTTTAGTTTCATTAGTAGTAAATCAATCAATATTGTATTAATAGTAGTTCTTAATGTAAGTTTAGTTTGTAGATTATATAGGTAGTCAATTATTCAATCGATACATTTTAGTACTTTAATTGTAGGAGGGCCATTATGAAAACTACTGGGTGACCAGTAATCAATGTCTTTACCCTCGTTAAATAAAGTTATTACTTACTTACTTACTTACTTACTTGTTTCGCGGCTCCTGTTCGCAGAAAAGTAAATCTAAAAGTCAACAAAAACTAAAACATCAAATTAAGTTCGTAATATCTTCAAAAAATTAGCACAAAAGGGATCTGTTCCAAGAAGATGCTGCGCGTTTAAATGACTGTTATGACTGTTATGAACAACTACTGTTTACCACTATTTAACCTGTTCTTCAGGAACAGATTTTAACGGCAATCCCACTGATCTAACTCGAGGAGTTTTAGACTTTGGTGTGACATACTGCGAGCGAGACATGTTCAGTGAGGGAAAACTTGATCGAGATTGTATTTAGATTTTGTCAGGCGTTTGTCTTACAGATGTTTCCGCGTTCATGATGCCCGCGAGAATCGACAAAATTTATAGTTTCGAAAATTTGCTTTGCATATTTGGAATTCAAGGGTCTTGGATATTTAAAAGTTGCAAAATCAAGTGTATATTATCAAGACAGGTATATTATTTTACTGCTAAGATTGGGATTTATTCTAATCTTTGAGTTTGGCTTACTATTTTGATTGCTCTAGTCTTCTTTGTCTCCGTGGTTACCAACAGGCAGCAGGATTTCGATGACCACCGACAAATAGACGTGCATATAAAATATATTAAAGTTCACACGGCAACCAGGTGGACAATCAAACATGGTTTGATGCTATATTACAGGTTTAATGAATGTAACCGAAGAAGTTACAATTCATAGACCCAACGTTTCGACACTCCTGTCTAGTGCCTTCATCAGGGGTGATCCTAACGCTGCAACAAGAGGTCCTCTTACATGATCACTAATTAGCTGCCTTTTTTCTGACGAGGTGTAAATAGGCGTCAGGAAGCAAGCCGCCATCGTCACGATTTAAAGGAGCGTGGGCGGAGTTAATATGCCAAGCCTCCAAACATAGGCGCTGGTGGTCACAGTATGAAATTATAAATTTACGAATCCGTAAAGATGCCGTAAAGTAAGTGTAAGATCCTTTATACGCGTCTTATAGAACTTCTTTACACTCTCGTAAAGAATGTCTTTACGCATTGAAAACGATAGTACGTAAAGATCACGGAGAGACTAAAAACGTTATCTTTACGTGCCTTGTTAAAAGTCGTATAAAGAATATTTACGATATTTTACGGTGACTGTAAAGCGATCAGAAAGGCGATCTTTACGCGTTATTAAACTATCGTAAATGGACAATATTTACATGCCCATTTGCCATTTTGCAGTTGTCTGAATTTTTTGGCAACATTCCCTTTTGCTAATCAGACTATAACAAATGTGAGCTAGTGACAACATCAGCGTAATGCGCTATCTTAGTGCGTATTGCCAAAAATCGTATGGAGAATGTTTGTGATATTTTACGCTTCTGTAAAACGATGCCACACATGCCTTTCAAGGACTGACCCATGTATAACAACACGTGTTTTATACATTGGAATTTATATTATTGTCATAACCCTTTAACTTGATTTTGTAATATTCACAGTAACGTAGCAAGAGGTTTATATACACGGGATAAGAACTGAAAAATACAAATATCATAAATATAAATATTTTTACATAGATATAAAAAAATGCCTCATTAGTTTCGCACAGCTTATAGGCACATGGACCTTTGAGTTACTTTTCTTTGATTCCGTTTCCTTGCTGCCCGAGTTGTTCTCAGCGACAAGTTTACACAAAGAGTCCAGTTTGTTTGAAAGCTCTTTGAACTTTAATTAAGGCATTTTCTTCATCGTGCTGCCTCAATTGCTCTCTCAATGATTGGTTTTCTTTCAAACAATCATCCATTAGCACAGTATAACTGTCGCTCACGCTGATGTGGTCGGAAATTCTTGACATTTTGAAAGAAAAAGAGTCCACAGATCACTTCACACGCCAAAAGGAGAGCCAGGAGTAAAGGTCGAAATTCTTAACGATTTGACTTCCTTTCAGGTTGTCGAAACGTCAGTCACCATTACCGACAACAGTCCTTGTCAGGACTACACTCACCCGGACGATCAAACTACACTATTACATGTTAACCTTTACTGTACTAAATCACCTGTTATACTCTCCCGCCGATCTGCGGCAACCTCGTTTCTATGTATTTTCGTCCCCAGGGACTCTTCATCAAACGTCCCGAGGACTAAAACCATTGACAGTCGGATGTTAAAGTTCGACAATCTTATTATTACAAACATTAGAGCATCACGCTTCCACACGTCATTGCAAGGTCCATTTGCCAGAAAAAAAACATGATTGTCTCATCACGACAACTTCCTGATCTGAGCTATTTCTTTACTCTGACTTCATCCTTAATATCGGTGAAACTAATATGCCATCATCGACTTTGGAAAATTAGTGAAAAGCTTTAGATTGTGGTGAATGTGGTGAATGATCCCATGTAACTGAATGATCCTGAGTAACTATAAAGTGCTACGTGACGCCAATTCGGTAATGAGTTCTTAACTTAAAATCTGCCCTGTGGCGTTTAATATGAGGCTTCATTAATCACTTCAGTTAGCCTACGCAAGGTGAGACTGCAGAAATCATGTCAGTTGTTTATTTATTTATTAATTCAGTTTACTTTCTACGTCAGGTATGGCAATAACCCAAGTATTCCAGAAAAAGGATAATCAACCGCCTAAGGAGGTATAAATGCCAGCTTAAGACGACTGATGTGTGGTATAAAACGCAGTAGTGACCCCCTCGTGAGCCCTTAAGACTTTGCGTTCGGTATTACTTTCCTTCACAACTGTATCTGCGTCTAATAACCGGAGGGAGCCGGTGCATCGCCTAATGAGTTCTTTACGACTAGCTCCTAATTTACTGCTTGTGACTGTTTTTGCGTTGATCCAAAATTTAGCTTCAACGAGTGCCGCTGTGGTAGACTGCAAGAAGAGCACCGGTAGCTGCTTGAAAGAAGGTAAGATTCTCCCAGCAAAAGTTGGTGATTGTTTCTAGTGAGTATAGGCAACGCTTGAGGAAAACAGATGCGACATTGGAGCGGCGTGCTGCGTTCTTTGAAGAAGCTAGAGAATCAAGGTCGCAAATTTTATATTGCAAAAGTTTGGTTTGAAACGGACAAACCGTGATTTTCGGTATTGTATCAATCTCGTTTAATTTCTTGTTAAAATCCCCTTTGCCATATGCAAGAGAAAAGAGATAAATCGTATTTCGTAATTTCAATGCATTGGAGTGAGTTTGTTCTTTATACTTTGCAGAACTTTAGAGTCATCCTGTTACGCTAAGCCGTGGGCATTTTGAAGCGCCCTTCGATGTCTTGATGGGGGAGGGGAGGGGAGGATTGGGAGTGGCGGTGTTCTTCAGTTGCGGTATTTTGGCAAAGAAAATCGTAGATTGGGGAATCGAGATGGACTTTTACGTCCTGCAATGTTCGTTACTTGTGTTGTCCTTATAGCTCTGGTGATAGCAAACGAAACTTTATTTCTTCTTTATTGTTCCGTGTTCAGTGGACTTTGTAATCCATTCGTATATCCTTCCCGTTATTTTCCGGACATAATGAGGCTTTTCAAAGCGGAAAATGCCTTGATTTTAAGGCAAATTTGAAACACGCAAGACCCAAAATCAGCATTACGACGAGAAACGTCAGAAATGTCGATTTTTGCGATAAGGTGACAGATAATTTGGACAGTGAGAACCATAGGATCATATCACATATTCAAATGAGAGAGACCAGAGCGTGAAAGTAGCACAGTATGTGAAAGGGAGGGAGAGGAAGTTTATCAAAAGGTGACATTTCGGGATACGGCACAATCGTTACTCTCATTCCGACACTGGCTTAGCCTGAAATGTCAAACTGAACGAGGAGCCCATTATAATGGATTCTTTTTGGGAACTCTTAATGGGAAATTTTTTTACTTAACAAACATTCAATATTTAAACAACCCACATAAGCCATCTTTACCTCAACAGCTTATTATAAGAATTGCGCCGAGCTGTACAACTGCGGCCAAACGATCAGCGGTGTTTACACAATCGACCCTGATGGTAAAAGGGCCTTCAATGTGTATTGTGACCAAACCACAGACGGAGGAGGGTGGACAGTGTTTCAGAGGAGACTGGATGGTTGCATGGATTTTAACCTGGGTTGGGCAGACTACAAAAAAGGCTTCGGTGATTTCCTTAATGGAGAGTTTTGGCTCGGACTAGAGAAGATCCATCGCCTGACGCAAAACGAGACAGAAAACAGGCTTCGAGTAGATCTGGGAGTAACTAAACGCAAAACTGTCTACGCTGAATATTTGTGGTTTGGAGTCGGAGACAAGAAAGACCAGTATCGGCTGAAACTCGGAAACAAATCAGGTGAGTCAATCTGCTTTCTCTCGGTAATCATTATCTAGAACAGCACGAAGGCGAGGATGAGAAAAGCATCAAATGTGTAATGTAGGTGACGGTTGTATTAAAAATTAATATTTACAGTAATGTGTGCGTGCTTCTCCTAAGAACTGATTTCTATCACACTTGCAATTTGTATCCGGGTAAACCTTATCTATGGAAGCCGAGGGCTGAGGGAGATTTCACAGAGTCCTGCGTGGTTTGACAATTCATGATATGATGCGAGAACAGAGTTCAGTAATTGTTTTATTACAGGCTATTTTTTATAAAAATCTACAAGATAGTGTAAAAAATCCTTTTATGAAAAGGAGGCTGGACTCCAAACTCCGTAAAAAAATTTATATTGAGCTTGTTAAATTAACCACGACATTTAGCTTGAATAAATTATCTGAAACGTTTTACATTTCAAAACAAAGGGGTAACGAACTTAAGTGATAGAAAGTTAAGCTTGAACTTGAATTCTGAAAAACAACAACAAAAAAAGGTACGAGATAGAATCCACGTCAGTTTCAAAGTTAAGGTTAGAATTCTTTGATGTGACTGGCTAATTTGTGAAAATCACGCGCTATACGTGAACACAAAATGGAGTACCAAGGGGGAGATGGAGAGAAAAAAAATTTGATCTGAAATTTAAAACGTAAGGGAATTTCACTTCTCTCTGAGTTTGAAAAAGTTTGAGAACGCTACATGCTTAAGGAGCTTGGAAACTAGGCAAACTTTGAACTCGAGTTGATAAATGCAATATATGCTGCAGATATTGGGTTATCCTATTACTTCACACGATTTTGTATATGGACTGAATTCTCTCGGCCAATCAGAGTTTCCAATGTAAGTCAAATTTACAATAAAGAGTATTGTCATCATTATCATCATCATCATCATAATTATCATTATACTTTATCACTATAATTGTTATAATTATTGGTGTTTTATCATTTCTATTAGAATGTGCGACTGTCAAAGATTCTCTTAGTGATCATAACGGCTCCCCGTTTGGTACACGGGACAAAGTTTACAAGCATTGTACCCATAAGATTTTTGGAGGCTGGTGGTACATCAACAATACTGACTGTGCTGTTTCGTCAAATCTCAATGGTGCTCATCATTGTAAAAAGAGAAAAAGGAACATGAACGAGACCTTGGGCGAGCGAAAGATTCACTGGGGTATGTTATCTGACACTGACGCAAGTCACACCAGTCCACTAACATCGGAAATGAAAATAAAACCTGTGGATTTACTTTTTAAGTGTTAAAACACTTTATTGAACACATGTAATCGTTCAATTGGCGTCTAGTCGGTTTCTTGATTAATAAAATACGTTATTTCAGCCAAACTTGTCATTGAAGAATTTACTTTAGTATTTGTTTCTCTCCCGTCTCGATTAGCTTCGCTATTTTGTGGGTAGGGGTTGTTAGATTTGTATTTTAATTGCTAAAAAGAATAATTTTTTTTATATTTTTGTTTTGCTTTGTTATATGACTGTTAGGGTTGCGAAATTGATGAGACTATTAAACCATCTGTTACATAACGATGTGTGGCCCAAAATATTTCCGAAATATTTTGGGCCACTTTAAAGTTTAAAGTTCTTTCTTCAAACCAACCGATTTCCTCGATTCCTTACTGCGCACAAAGATTGGGGGCGAACTTTCGACGAGGCATAACCTCCAGTTGCTCCTAAAGATTTCCTAAAATAATGACACCATCGAAAAGGGCTTCTCCTACTAGATGGAAAGCCGCGTGTCATAAGGCTGACTTTATCAGTTTAAAAGCATAGAATAAGCGAAAGACAGCTTTAGAAATTGGGAAAAAAACAACAGCGGGTTTGCAGAAGCCCTGTTACGCAGCATTTCGGGTAAACAAAGCTCTTCTGGGCAATTGGGTGACCGTCGGACTGGGAAACGTTTACAATCGATCTCAAGCCCAATCCCATGTAAGTTTTTGTGTGACCTCTCTCTCCCGGTGAGATCACAGGCAGACCACACTATGAGTTTGTGGTTAATAACTGCAGATGTGAGGCGAGCGAAATCCATGAGGGTTATGAATAAAGCTCTGAAAATTACATATCTAAATTACACCTCGGTCTGAATATCCCAATAAAGTTAGATAAAATATTTATCAACTCGTTTGTGGTATTTTTTCACCTTCATGGGCCGTTTTATTTGAAGAGTCTTTTTATTACGAAATTACTTCCGCCAAATGTAATTTTGGAAGAATTTACAGAAATGACGGATGATGTCATTTCTGTGATAATTAAGTTTCAAATCTTTAACAACTTTTCCCACCTCTAAAGTTCACCTTCACACAAAGCAAATACTCTTCTCTTCACGAGATTTTGCATATAGCAAAAACTTTCATTTAAAAAGAATAATAAACAACGTGGCGCCTGACTTTCATTGAAAAGTACGGTATTTTATTTGTTTTAAGCGCCCTGTGCGCTTATCAAATTTTTGGACCTTGAGAGCCGGGACGCTTATCCGATGTGGGCGCTTACTGCCCTTATTCGAGGCTAGGCGCCTCTTAAACTTTCACCACTTTTAGCAAGGAGTTAATTTATTTTGCAACTAAATGATACATGATAACAAAAGATGACGATGTACCATATGGGAGTGAATTTATAGTTTGTGAGCCATTAAAGAAATTTTAATACTCCCCTGATGCATTTCAGTTTCCGCTTATTCGAAGCACTGGGCGCTCATTAACTCTCTCCAGGCGTTTATTCGGGGTAGCTGCTTACAAATGATACCATTCTTGCGAAAAGCAAAATCATGATTTAGTAAAAAGTCTAAATAAAAAAGCGTTTAATAGAAAATAAAAGAAGGCCGAAGAAAGCAGAAGACTACACAGATGGTGCGACATGGACGCAAACCGAAATCAGACGCGACTTCAGCCAATGAGAGATGCGATGGCACCTGAGAAACCTCCTATCAATCAATCAATCAATCAATCAATCAATCAATCAATCAATCAATCAATAAATCAATCGTTTCCTTGGAGGAATTAAAAAAACAATGGTTAAGCTTTAATCATCTCACCCTTCTGAAATTGTACTTACCAACATTTAATTTTATTATCTTTAATATTTGATCCAAGAACTGATCTACCCTAGGTGATAAAAACAGAGGGAAAGAAGGAAGAACCGAGAAATTTTTTTCTCAAATGAAATTTCTACATTTTTTACAGTATCGTCGCTACTAAACCTTATCTAAAGCTGGAACTAAAGGTCTTTCCTCAGAAATTTGAAAAAAGGCGAAAATTTAAATTAATCTCACCTTCTGAAAAGCCTTTTACTCGTGAGTTTAAATTTTAACAGGGAGAGTTTTTATCTTGTCCGAACTCTTGATCCAACCGCTCTTTGTGTTTAGATTTAGTTAAATCATTTCTAAAGCCGAGTTCCCTACACGTTTTTTTGTCAACCTCTTTGAAAAATATTGGTTTGATGATTCGTATAGTTGAGTACAACATAAGTGCGTTGAAGATGCGTTGGCGATCGATGTACGAAGGCTTATAGCTCATATTTGTGATTACATCGGAAGCCATGCAAAGGTCTTGTCCACCAGATAATACCAAAATGTTTTGAAAAAGTACTACAAGCTGACTTAAAAGTTTGCTAGAACGTTCACCGATCATCTGCCATTAGTGGACAATCTTCGCTCTTTGCTGATTTCTGAGACGATTGTTCCAGCTTTGTGCTTTTTTCAGATCCTCTTTTTGTTCTGCCATGAGCTTCTCCAGAAAAGCATACTCCACCTCCATTGTCTGATAACTCCAACTTAAGTCCTCCAGCCGCTGGACAATATCGACGTACCAGTGGTTCT